AATCGTGAATGCACGAGATACTAGAAGGATAAACGACAAGAAAAACAAACAAATGAAAATGAAAAGAAACAAGTATCGTGGACGAAAAGCACGACTGTCGCCTGATGCGCCTTGTTCGATCGAAGAGTTCGGCTCAAAATATGAAGTCAATCGCAGTGCCTGAATCGCCGCAGAACTTGTATAAATTATCGTAATACGTAGTCCAAGCAAAAGAACAAAAAAAAAAAAAAAAAAAACGAGAAAAGAAAATTCCACGGTTATGATTAAACGGTATGGCGGATGATGTACAAGATTAACACGGAGAAAAGGTAAAAAAAACGAAAGAAAAGATATAAGAAGAAAGAATATTACTAATGCTAATTACTAATAATGTAATAATTATAATGATAAACGAAACAAAGACTCTCATATGCCAGCCATTTTAAGGAATTTTCGAGCGTCTTCTAATTGTGTCTGTTTAGCTGAAGCGAAACTTGTCGAGCGAGCGACAGCCGTGCACCCACGCTTGATTAGCCGATGTTTAGCGATGGACATTCGACACTAAAGCGATATCGATCGTGTCTCGAACATCGTTCGAATTCGAAACGAATAATCGTGAAGTTTGATTGTCCCTCGAGGCGAGAAAGAATATTTTACACGGTTCTCTCGGAAATTCTACGATCGACGCGATTATTTAATAAAAACTAGACTAATATTTGTGAGAAACGAAGGATTTCGAACGATGTACGGAGACATCCCGAGATTACTCACTTCGCGTGATACGACATTTCTTTCGAATAATTTTACAAATGTGATCTACGCTATCTGTGCGGCGATATATCGAATCCTCGAGATTCTTAGAAACCGTAGGATCTCTTTAAGGTGTTCAAAGACAAATGTATTTTAAACATTCGTTCACGTATTAATGCATCCATTGCGTACACGTTCGTTGCATTTTCCTTTTGGTCGTTTAATGTTAAGTTCGAACTTATTCTCGATTACAAATGAGACTGCTAAGTTATTCATATACACACGCTCACATACATATGCATACACATGTACACGTATACACAGAGTGCTTAATCCGTTAGGCGGCATTTAAAGAAAAAAGCGCTAGAGGAAAGAGGGAGGGAGAACGTTTTGAATGTCCATCGCTGTTTTACCACGTTTCCCAATTTTCGAACTGTGTACATGCCGAGAGGCCAAGTTCAAGT